GTTTTCAATTACACGAACAATTGATTTGGAAGCTATTATTATCGATTGATCTTTATTTACGATTTTCCTTTGAAGTCATTTGAGAGACATCTAAGCTTGACCCTAGGAAATAGCTCTTTGAGTAATTTTAATTACAAATATCGTTTTCCCTCGCACTTCTTGATTGATCAAATTCTCGTCAAATTAGCAAGTTTATCATTAGTGCATGTGGATCCTAAATTCCCTAGTGTTTCGATAATTGATTTCCATTTGTTAGCTTTGAATTGATTCGATAGCATAGACCAACCCGTCGTTTTAAGATTTCAGAATACCTTAGCAAATACCGCCTTCCCTTTGGTTCAACCTGGACTAGCCCCTTTACCTAGGGTTGGTTTAGTTTTTCAAATTTTGTTTTAATAAGGGAATCTTGTTACCAACGTCCTAGGTTTATCCCGGGTCAACAATTCAAAGATTGTATTATTAAAAAAAAAATACGAACCAAAGGTTGTATTATTCATATCATGACCCGGGGCATCACTAAGGCGGCAAACTAGTTTATTAACTAAAAATAAAAGTGATGCATTTAAATTGAACTTTCATTATGATAAAAGTGTAGTGATGCATCGATCTAATAAAAACGGAGGAACTAATTTTTTTATAAAGTGTAGTACTAGCAAGAGGAATTTCCATTAGAAAATAGTGTATACATGTTCTTTTTAAAGATAGTTGTTACTAACTTGCAATTGGTTAGCTCCCTAGCTATATGCCCAATATTTTAAAGGGCTATGTAAGGCAAGGAAATTCAATCGATTAGTTATCAAAAACTAATTAATTCAATGCAAGTTAACTGGAATAATAAGTTAAGGAAAGTTAACTTGTTGTGTGGCAAGCATGTTTTAATTAATCATTATTAGGATACTCCTGTTAGTGTGTTAGTCCTATAGGTGCATATGTATTTGCTAATTCGTGATTTCTTGTGTTGTGTTTGTCTTGTTTTTGTATTGAACCTAAGGTACAATGACTCGTTTAATGTGGGTATTAAGTACGGACTAAATAAAGAGAAATAAGCAAGAATTTGAATCATAATGACCAGAAAAGAATAACAAGATGTATGCAGAGAGTTACTTGTTTCATTACTTCTCCTATTGATTATTTATGAATTATTGTTACTACCTCTGTCACATATTATTTGCAACTTTTGGGTAATATTGTGAGATATACAAAATTTTAAAATTGCATATAATATATGTAATAGAGGTAGTATTTATATTTTTAACTTTCTATTGATAGATGCGGTTGAATACCTTTCACGTCGCTTGATTGTCGAACGCATTGAAAGTGTGAAAAGTCTAGTGATAGATGCGATTGTTTTTATTAAAATATCTCTCTTTCTGTTTTTGAAAATGTGCTCTATTTATAAGGGTCCAATAATGGTGTATTTGGATAGGGCTTGAAATGAAATTTCCAACGATAAATTATAAGCCCAATTTCGATGAATAATGAGGAAGTTATGGCCAAAATACTAAACTGGGCCCAAACCGGATTTTTCCTACGACCCAGTGGAGGGTCCAAAGGCTTAATCCCATTCCTAAACTAATTAGGATTAATTAGAAGCTTCTATAAGTTTCTACAAGATCTTAATTATCCTTTTTTAAAAAAGATAAGATCAAAGAATTCGAAATTGAATAAAACTTCTCTTTCTTGTTCTGTGCGAAATGGAATATTTTCAGATATTATTTTCGTACCTCATAATTTTAATCCAAATCTTAAAAGGTTGGATAGATCTTGAAATTATCTTTTCAATGATATATTATAATATTAATTTCAAGCTATAACAAAAAAGATATGAAAGGAATACGAAATTCTACCGAAAACTGACACCCTTCCACTATTTCGGCCATATATTTTTTTCTACAAAAGATTTTAATTTGATTCTAATTGTGTTATAAAGTAGACTTCATGAACTTTCCAACGACATACTTTATGACTTATTTGGACTTCTTGATCAAAAGATATGATAAAAAAAAAATCCGCAAAAACTGTCCCAGCGCCAAACGACAGAGTCTGTCGTGCGCGACAGCTCGGCGACAGAACCAATTTTATTTCAATTTGAATTCCAACTCTTTTCTATCGTTTCTGGACAATTTTCTCTATAAATAGGGTTGTATTTCCCTGTTTTTAATCATTCACAATCATCAACAATCATCTAATTCTATTCTCTCTTCTCTATAAAGCTAGAAGCTTATTCTTTCTCCCTCTTTCTAAACCTCCCCTCTTACAAAATTCCGCATATACAAGTTCTAGACACACCTATCCAAGTTCGAAGTTTCCTTCACCCTAGATGTGAAAGGTTAATACATTCTGAGGGTTTGGTCCCAAATCTCTATTTTAATTATTTAATTTAATTGTTTAATTTATTTTTTTCCTTGAAGTTACTAACGCGTGTATTTTGTTATTAGAAAGAGATATGAGGCACCCAAGAAAGTAATTTAATTATTATTTGATATATAAATCATGCTTTAATTTATCTATGATTCCTAGTATCATGTTAGGATGTCTTTATGATTCCTAGTATCATGTTTAGGGTATTAACTAAAATTTCTAATATCATGTATGATGCTTCCTATTCTTTTTAATATCATGTTAGTATCATGTTAGGAATAAAGCTTTGATCTTTATTGTTTAGTGATATGTTAGGATTTGTTATTAATCTTGTTAATATCATGCCTAGGATATTGCTATTAATATTATGCTTTATTGTTAATGTGGTTATTATGATGATTCGTTATTATGTTGCTTGATTACATTGTTATTGTTATAGTTATTGCTTGATCACGCCTTTTATGCATGTTTAAAGGGAATTTGTATTTGTAATCACGCTTAATAAGGTAATTAATAATCTTGTTTAGGCTAATATGATTATAATTCAAGTGATCGCTAATAATAGTTTTGTTTGTGCATTAATATTCAACCAACATAGATAAACAGGTTTAGGATTAACCTATTTATTGTGTGTTAGTCAAAAAGCGCTCATGAACATGAGAAAAATAAAGTAGAGACCTATTTTTAGGGCAAGTTCAATCTCTTTTATGTTGGATTCGTACCTTCGTCCCCGAATATCCAGTCATGGTTCCAGATCACTATGGATTAGCGATCTCATGGATCATGAAGGGGTGCAACCTTCACAATGTGAACGGTTTACAAGTTCCTAAAACTTGTTGGCGAATCTTTTACTTTAGCTTCCTTCCCTTTAGACGCCACAATACTTAAGTGTATGATCACAGTGGGGCTCAAGTGTGGGATGCTTGAAATATTCCCTATAGTTTTAAAGTTGGTTTTTTTTGTTTAAAATTCTTTCAGTTATTTGGTTTTTGGTTTTATAGTATGTTTCTTTTGAAATGAAACCTCAACTGTGTTAGTGTGAAATGTCTTAACCATTGTCAAGATGGCAGTATTACATTGGTTATTTCCAGAATTAATGATTTTGAGTAAGGATGAAAGGGGAAATTTAAATAAGGGAACTCCCATAGTATTACATTTTATAACTTAAATTTTTTTATCTAATCTAAACAGAACTAATTTTATCTAATCTGATCTAAAATAAGTAATAAGGTTCTGACAAGGTGAGCTAAACATGGCTTAAGTCGAAAAACTGTTGAGACTCATCCCACTCAATCAGAGATTTGTATAATTATAAATAAGACCAAAGTACAACTGAAAAGGACTTGGACAATTTGTAATTTCACACAACATATCATTTTAAGCACACTTTCTCTCATTAACACACTCACTAACTTAAGCTACGGAAGGGGGGGGGTTCCTCGAATCACCCTTGAGGGAAGTAACATTTCTTGCTTGTACATGTACCTTATCTGGTCTTATTAAGCCACATCTAGCCATCCTTGACCAGTACATCAACTAGGATAATTAATGTTTATGAAAAAGAAAACCCCACAAAAACAAGTGAATGAGTCGAGTCAGGCTTGACTCGCAACTTTACGGGTCAAATAGATTCAAAATAAATCGGATTTCAAGTAAAAAAAATAAAAAAAAAATTATTCTAACCACAAAAATGGGTTGCATTCGGATTCGGTAAAAAATTAATAAGTCTTAATCTATCATAGTCATTAGAATTGACACATTTCAATCCAAATTTGACCTTGTTTCCAAGAAAGACTAAGGTAAGATATGTATAAAGGTATCAAAATCGATCTGACCCCGAAAAAACATCATTTTGAACTATAACCGACCTGATTTGACTAAGAAATCTAGGAGACAAACCCGACTTCTAAGTGACCTAATAACTCAATCCGAATTTGAAACTTACCCAATCTAAACTTAACCTGACATCGATTGACTTGACCTCAACTCAACCCAAAAGGATTTGACTTGACTTAAATTTCAAACCAATTTGACTTTACCTAAACTCAACCCAACTTGAAATTGACCCAAAAAATATACTTGTTCAATTTGATAAGTTTTGACCTAAACTGATATTAACCTAACTTGATATTTATCCGATCTGATTTTAACCAAACATGATTTCAAACTAAATATAATTTTAAACTTGACTTATGATCGACCTTCCTTTTTTTTTATTTATTTAAACATAATTATGTCGAATAATGTAATTACATTTGTTTCATTTGTCGTTAAGAACTTTCTTTTAAATTGGTGAGTCATGAGTGTAATAATTTTTAATTTGTAATGCTATAAAATAATATATATATATATATATATATATATATATATATATTCAATTTAATCAATTTGATGTATTAACTATACTAAAGTTCAATTTTATCAATTATGTATGTGGCTATATCTATTAATCTGTCCCTTGGTTTATTATTTATCTTGTTACTTATGTAGGCGTGATAAGTCATTGATAAATAATTCGATTTTAATTTGGATAAAAGATTAAATGGAAACTAATCTAATGAGAAAACGAATACGGAATACTAAGTGTAAGTCCATCCCATAACCTCAATTGACAAATGCGGTATTAGAGCACGCTCTTTCTACCACAAAATAAATCAATAAAATCAGATACATTGAAAGACAGATATAACCCACCACCCCACGGCCAACGGGCCCACACCAATAAAATCTCTTTCAAATCCGCCAGATTTCTCATTTGCAATTCTTATACAGTCAACTCCAACAAAATTGTCATCTGAAAATTCAATTCATAAAATCATCACCAAAAAAATCTCTCTTTTGTTCAATTTGTTTTCAGTTTTCACCCTGAAAAATAGAGAAAATGAGTTGGATGTCAATGATAATGGGGGCAGCCCCATTTATGGTGATGATAATAGTGGAATGTGTTGAAGTTGGATTATCAACTCTTAGTAAAGCAGCAATGGTCAAAGGAATGAGCAACTTTGTTTTCATTGTTTATTACAATGCTCTTGGTACCCTTATTCTTCTACCTGTGTTTCTGTACAACATTTTCAGGTTGGTAATTTTCCTTTGGTTAATTAGTTTCCTGATTTTCTAATTGTATTTTTGTTGTTAATTTCCTATGATAATTGGGTGTGATTGATTTTGTTAATTTATTAATTCATTGGTTTTATGCAGAGGGAAGGGAGTTCGGATCACATTTTCACTCCTTTATAAATTCTTTCTTCTTGGATTAATTGGGTGAGTTCTATAAATTTTTGGGTCTTTATTTGTATGAATTGTATCTCTTAAGGGGCTGTTTGGTTGCCAAAGAAAAACACGGGAATTTAGAAATCCTATGAATTGAAATTTTTTGAAGTTGTTTGGTTAACAAATTCATAGGAAGTAGAAATTCCCATGAATTTCCACAAAATGGGGGAAGTTAATTACCTAGGCCTAGGTAAGTGGAACTTCCCATAGGAATTCCACTCCCCTTAGTTAACCAAATAATTTTTAGAATTTCTTCCACTTTCATGAGTTAACCAAACAATTTTTAGAATTTCCTTGGAATTCAATGTGGGAAATTAATTTTCCAAGGAATTTGCAATTCCTACATTCAACCAAACGAGCCTTAATATTAATAAAGTATGCAAATAGTGCAAAATTCAGTAAATAAAAAAAATGGGTAAAAAAATTTCACTGTTAGAATCATTTTAGATGTTTGAAAATTTAATTAGATGTGTTAGAATTATTAACCTTTTTTTTTTTTGGTTGATAAAGGAGTTTTTTGATTTTTCTAATATATGGCAGGATTTGTTTGTTGCAGATATGTGCCTACACTGGCATAAGCTATAGTTCTCCAACTCTAGCAGCAGCTATTGGCAATCTTATTCCAGTTTTCACATTCATCTTAGCTGTCATTTTGAGGTAAGGATTGCTATAAAATTTTGGATTATTATTGTTGTTACTTTCATATAGATCAACTTGAAGAAAATGACAGGGTACTTGTTGTTAGAGTTAGATTTCATTTGATGAAGAAGTGAGTTCAAATTTTGCTTCTGTTGGTGTTGAATAAGATGTTTCACAAATTAACACTGATATGTGATTCATAAACAAAATTGGGGTCTTGTATCTTTTTGTAAATGATTCTGTTATATTTTCAAAGAGGGCACAATTTTAGCTATCCTTGATTTGTTTAATAAATATAATAAAAATGATGTATTACAGTATTAGGAATACTTGCAAACATGAGGACAACAAATATGGCTAAGTATTAGGAATACTTATTCATGTCATATGTTGAAGGCTGAAGCTTCACAGAAGGAGAATTGACAATGGAAAACCACGTGGGAAGGAAAAATTATTGAATGGTGTCTACCCTTAAAACTACCAAATCATCGGTGGTCCTAACCTATAAGTGCTCAAAAACCGCACTACTAAATTTCACAAACTACTATCACTGGATCTTCACAAATTTAATAGTTGTGCTAAATTTGGATGTGGGAGTTCCATGCGATCAAGTAGCCATGAATCATGTTTGGTATAAAAAATTTCAGCTTCAAAGCCAAAATGATAAAGTTGCTTGGGGTAGCTTATTCTGATTGGCTTTCGGCTGTTTTGCCAAAATTATCTATTATGCATACATACAAACATCTTTGAGAGCAATTAATGAGTGAACAAACCAATTGAAGCAGCTAATGCTAATAGGAAGTTAAACAAATGTTAAGCAGGCCAAAGAAACATGGAACAACTGCACTGTCTGCATGGTGCTGCTTGATGTAGTGCATGATGACTACAAATCAAAGTATTGTGCAGCCACATTGCTTTGTCTTTGATCTGATATTGTGTCCTAACCATCCCTGGACACTTTGGAGTCCATCTCCCACGCTGAGTTTATTGCTCACGGACGTATTCTCAAGCTCGTTTTTTGGGGACCTTAATTAAGCAGCAAAAACAGCAGCAGCAGCAGTTGTAGTAGTAGAAGGAAAACAGATTGTTATTGTGAAAGAGTGTAGTAAAATTATAGAGAAGACTGGGAATTATAATTTCATCACTTAAATCTGTACTCTTACTTTCTGTTCACCTGTTTAAGCATGCTTCTTGAAGCTAACTTCCATTTTTGGGTTTGATTTTGATAGTTTATCTGCATGAAATTATGCATGTGTTTCTCTTGATGGAGGAGAAAGCTTATAAGTTTAATTACACAACAATTGTGAAGGATGGAGAAGCTTGACTTGAGGAATCTCAGCAGCCAAGCAAAATGCTTAGGCACGATTGTTGCAATATCTGGAGCAATGGTGGTAACTCTCTACAAAGGGCCTCCATTGATAACTCAAACTCCCGATGCATCTAATAAGCTTCTTGCAATGCCAGTAAATTGGACTCTTGGTGGCCTTCTTTTGGCAATTACTTCTTTATTGTCATCAACAGGCAACATTCTTCAGGTCAATATTGTCTTTTCACTATATATATATGTGGCATAGTGCTACATGGAACGGGACTTTTACACTGATTTAACTTTATTTATTTATTTATTTTCTCAGACAGCTACCGCTAGGGAATGCCCAGATGAGCTGACTCTAGTCTTCTTCTACAGTTTATTTGGGACACTGCAATCTGCTGCTGTTTCTGTCTTTGTGGAGAGTGACCCAAAAAAATGGATATTGCATCATAGGATTGAGATCATTGCTATAATCTATGCAGTAAGAAATTTTTGTAACATAATTTTTATCATTATATTCATAATTTGATTGATTCTTTCCAATCATCAATCTTATAATCATTTGTTGATTGTAGGCAGTAACAACCACTGTTTTTCGCAATACTGTCATTACATGGTGCCTACGTGAAAAGGGGCCTGTCTATGTAGTTTCTTACAAGCCTTTAGCAATTGTCGTTGCAATGATCATGGGGTTGGTGTTTCTAGGGGATAACCTCTATCTTGGAAGGTATGTATAATAACCATTCCCTTTAATTTTCTTATGTTTACATTTCTATTAACAATTGACACAGATGCCTCGGAAAATTTGCGGATCCATTTTCTCTCTTCCTTTGTGATCCTTTTGGTGGGGCAAGGGGATAAAGGAGGGAAATACCTTATGAGGAAGTTCAGCTAGAAATGAAGAAAAAAAAAAAAACAGAAAAGAAATGAAGGACTATTACTAATTGAATTTTCGTAGATTGATGTTAACTTCAGAATTCAGTATTTGTTGTTAAAACCAAGCTATAAACAAATTCCTTTTGTAAAATTTTAAACAAGACTAAAGCAAATTAAAAATATTATAGTTGGCTGAAATAATTTGTTGCAATGTTATACAAAGGCTTTCAGGCTTATATAGCAATAGTATATGATTATAAAAAAAAGTCTACAACAAAGCTGATTCCTGAGGTGTTATTATGTGGTGTGCAGTGTCATTGGATCAGTTGCAGTTACTGCTGGATTTTATTCAGTCATTTGGGGACAAGCCAAAGAAAAGGATGATCTTGCTTCTGGCAATGTCAGTAAGTTAGAGTCAACAGGCGACCTAAATGTCTCTTTGTTAAAAAACACTGATGACAACACTTGTGGAAGTGCTTGATACAGTTGAAATTAAAAAGGTAATGTCATTACGAGCTACATTCCGTAAGTTCTATATGATAAGAAATTAAAAATACAATTTGATTCATAATACAGGTTGCTGGTAGAAATTTTGTTATTGAGCTTGCCTTCCTGTATGCTGCCATCCACTGGATTCATTTGCTATGTCCGTCTATACTACTAGTACCATATTTTCTTAGCAGCTTTTTTCTGTGAATTCTATCATTCTAACCTGTTTTTGAACCAAGCTAATCAAAACCTATCTTTATCAATCATATTCTTATTCTTTACCTCTAGGCCTTCTTTTAATCAATGTCTCGCATTTTGATTTATAATTGTTTCATTTATACTTAGGATGTGTTTGGTATGAATATTGGATATGGAGTGGAAAAGAAACATAGGGGGAAAAATTAATCATTTGACTCTTACCTATTCATTTGTCTGATGTAACCATGAAAAAAACTTAAACCTAACTCCCTTTCTTTTTGTTTGAGGATATGGGTAATTGTTTCCTTAGAGAGGTAAAAAATAGGTGGAAATCATTACCTTTAGGAAATAGTAATAAGTTACCCAAACCTTCTAACCAAACACTTGGTAACAATAATGGTTTAACTTATTGGATACAAGTGCGTGGAAGTCTAGCTAGCATCTCTTCTTAAGTCCAATTTGAAGTATAGTTATACTCTACTTGACCTTGTATTTGCTATGCCAAGAACACTAGATCCTTTCTCCTTACTTTGTGATTTGTTTCACCGTCCACGCTCTTGTCAGATATATGAAGTGGTATACTTGGGCACTAAAGATAATAGAAGAGTTGATGTATCATAGTTTATACTGAAAACAATCTTCTCCTCTTAATGATTGTAATCTCTCCACACAAAACTTAGACAACATACAACAGTGCTATACTACGTAATATATGATCTTCTCATAGCTGTACCGAGAAGAGCACCAAAACTTTCTTATAAATTTGTAAATTCATATAGTATACATTGTAACTTGTTTAAGATCAGGAATAGCTATATGATGAGTAACCCATGTAATTCAACCGAGGCCGTACATTTTGGTGATTATAAACAGGGTCACTATAATCAACAGCTTTTATCACCATTGCTTCACGCCGTCCATCTTGTTCTTGAACTGCTCCAAATACTATCTCACTCTTGTCTGAGCCCTTCTCACCAGCTGCTTTTGTATTAGACTTGATATTCCTCTGTTGCGGCTTCTGCTGCTGTTCCTGTTCCTGCTCCTGGTGCAGCTCCTGTTGTTGAGGAATCATCCCCTGACGCTGATGAAAATCAGTATCTCGTTCTTCATAATAACCCTGGCTTTGTCTTAGTTGCTGTTGGGGGTATGGTTTTCTCATGATAGAAGTCCTAGTTTCTACATTTTCTAGTCCTGGTGGCTCATCTCCATAATTAGTTTGCATAGGCCATGAATGATCTGGATGCCTGTTTAGTTGCTGGAAATGTCTCAGATGATCATGATATCGTGTTTTCCTCTTTCTGAAACCCGAAAATAATAACCCTGCAAACACATCAGCCACTGAGGAACTGGCATTGATTATAAGCCTTCCAAACGAGAATAATAAGCCTTCGTCCTCTTCACCATATTCATCTTCCGGGGGTATTAGTGGTGGTCTCACTGATTTTGGAGGTCTCTGATACGGTGCTGCGATAGCGTGGCTGTTTATTTGCATTCTTGGATCCTGGTGATAAAATCAGAATATCATAAAAGCATTAGTTAGAATGATTTGATTAGAATAGGTGCCTCAGTAGTTTGTAGTAATGTCTTGAGGTTTTTACTGATCTCTTGGTTGAAAATAAGGCTTGAACTCTCTGCTTGAGCAATGCCAACATGTATCCAAAGAACATAGCTGCAACAAGGACTACTACGCCTGAAATGATGAAGAAAGATTTCATAAATAGTTTGATAGAAGGCGTCGTACTTTCAATTTTTAGCAAGCTATTTCAGTCACAAATGCTCTAAATTTCCTCACAACCGTTTTAATGAAACTATGTTATATCTTGAAGGGAACATTTTTTGTAAAGGTAAAGATGTAATCAAGTTTTTGAGCTGAAAAAGATGGTTATAATGTCGCAGTTTCTAAGCTTTTTTTTATTTTTATTTTCTTTTCTTTTTATATTTTTGACGGAAAAAGCTTTTGTTACTACTGTCTTGGCTATACCGAAATATAAGTTTTCCTCAGACTGCTGATGGTGTTGAACTGGTGGCTGCTCATAAGAACAATCAGCCTCATGGAGTTGTATTTCACGAATTGCTTGGTTTCCTCTATCCGTGACTAGGAGTGAGCAGCTACTTCGTACATACACTAGGTCGAAATCATCAGAAAACTTTGCATCTTCACTAGCTCCATCCATATGACTTCCTCCATGGCTCCTTTTTCCTCCTGCTATTGTAGTAATTCCTGAACAAATGAGAAAAAAAGCAAAATCATAGTCTTTATAAAAAGGATTCAATGACCACTGAACGAGGAATTGTGTGAGGTGAAACTTTCAGTAATGGTTATGCAGTGTGCCTGTAAGGGTGTTGTATGACTTGTATTTATCAACTTTGCCAGTATTACCCAAAAAGATCAAGTTTTCCCTACCAGGTATACTAAACAGATATTTCTGTAAGTATTATCAAAAATACAAATCGATACCTGCATCAGTGATTTTCCTGATGGCCATATTCATGGTGTCAGCAATGTAGATGTTTCCGCTGTCATCGACTGTTAAACCTTTGGGGCCATACATTCTTGCATCTCTTAGTTTCCCATCTACGTGCCCTGTGTAGCCTTCGGGTGATCCTGCAATAATTTTTGGCCTGCTATCTGAAGAGATTTATGGTTTAAATTGTAAGTCAAGCTAAAGACTCAAAAACATCTACTGCATGTAAAATTATCAAAAGTGATAGAATATATGATTAATCCTATGTTCTATTAAAAAGACTTGCATCAGTTGCTTGTCAAGAAAATTTAAAGCGATAAGCCCTCATTGATGTATTTAGCTCTAGGAATTAGGAAAATTCAGTGATAAGCACTCGTTGATAATTCAGTGATACTTAAGAACAGGTTCTTTTCACTTGTATTTAGCTCTAGGAATTAGGATAATTCAGATTTACTTTGATCGAGTAACTCATGTAACATCGACTGAATAACCCCATAACACTAATGAAGTAATCCTCATGCGGTGGCCAACCACAAGAATTTTTTTTGGGTTTTATGTTTTTTTCACTTTTCTACGTTGTGGCCCAACATATATGACTTTCTACACTGTAACCCTAATATATTTTTTTGTTCACATACGGTAACCTTGCCGTTAAAAAATTCCGTTAGTGGGGCCCACTCTCCATTATTAATATTTTTTTTTTATTGATTTGCGCATTGAAAAATACTCCGTCAAAGGTTTCAAGGGCTATTTTGGCTCTTAAGGGTCCAAATTGAGCCCAAATTTGGCAAAAAAATAACGTAAATGCCTCGTTTTGTGTGTTAAAATGTGAACACGTAAATCGAGACATTTCTTAATAAGAAAAACGAGGCATTTACGTTATTTTTTGCCAAATTTGAGCTCAATTTCGGTCCCTAAGGACCAAAACAACTCCTAAAACCTTTGACGGAGTATTTTTCAACGCGCAAATCGATAAAAAACATACTAATAATGAAGAGTGGGCCTCACTAACAGAATTTTTTAACAGCAGGATAACAGCAAGGTTACCGTATGGAAACAAAAAATATATTGGGGTTACAGTGTAGAAAGTGATATATGTTAGGGCACAACGTAGAAAAGTGAAAAAAACAGGGTTAGTATATAGAAAAACCCATTTTTTTTTTTTTTTAATTTTGATCTAGTCGTATATATGGTTTAGTAAATTTATTTATGAAAATTGCCATTTCAATAAAATGGAGTTTATTTTCTGTTAGAACCATATCAATATTACAAAGAGAAGAAAAATTTGTACTATTTGGTTTTGAAAGTAAAAGAATGATAGAAAAAATTCCCAAGATATGTAATTTATTGTACTTTTACAATTTAAAAAAGAGTCTTCTTCCTAACTAAAGTAACCCGACATTATCATCTTAAAAAGTTGGTCTAGACAAAATGCAAGTCCTCTTAAAAACTAATTGCCACAAATAAAGAGAATCTAGGATAAACTACAACACAAGTTTCAACTTTAACCCTTAAACAAGCTACTAATATACTTCAAACTCTTTACACCAATTATTCTCTGAGCTTGCAAAAAGTTTTGGATTAATAAAATAACTTAGGTTATGGTTAAGGGAAAATATAATTGTTGTGTTATTTAAATAATGCCAACTCTCCAGAAGTTTAATGTCCACTTAAAATACTTAAAATCTCTTTATTTTCTACGCGTCCTTTTAAAATGGTAATTGTACAAGTATTTTGAATTTTAAAGCATGCATGATGTGTATATTAATTAATTTAATTATATTACAGAGCATTACTCATAAACTCTAAAGTCCATTTGAATTAGGAATATGATGTATAATGAAGAAATCACACAATAACTTTAAATTTAACATTTACATGGAATTATGATAATGGTTTTCAATTTACAAATACTGATCTAAAATCAATCAAGACTTACATCGAGACAATGGTATTGAAATCTTGTAAAGATTATTGTTGACAGAATCCAAAATTAGAAGCTCTCCTGTTGGAGATGCCTGAACAGAATAAGGCTCAATCCCAACCTTACTTCCATTAAAAACTGTCTCAACTGTTTATCCAGCCTCGAATTTCATCAATGAACGACTTGAAACAGCTGAAATAAACACCCATTCATCAGTCTAAATATAATGTAACATGCACTGCTGATGCATTACATCAGAACAGTGCAGGAAACACTTTCTCTGGATTAATAAAAGAACATGCACTGCTGATGCATTACATCAGCTGAAATTGAACTGATTTGAGTCGTCGTATAGTACATTTCTAACCTTTCTCTGGCTTAATGACTGGAGTTCTTAGAGACCAAAGCCATTTAAAGACAGTAGACATCACATTAGTGACGATACCAGCTACTATTCCTGACAACATACAAGAAAAAAGGCAAAAATTTGAAGTAGGCGGAAAATAAAATTAATTTTGTATTAAGGAAATTTTAACTGTAAGAGAGTTAACTTACTCGCAGGAGGAGATGCTGAAACAAATGATATATCATTGAAAAATATCAGAAATATGAAAAGAGAAATAACCCATTTCTTAGACATTTTGTTAGATGTTTCAATGAAGAAATTATTGATTTTAATTTATGAAAAAGTATTGGAAGAATATGTAAGTTTTTCCCATAAAATAGGAAAATAAAATATTTCTATAAAAGGAAAGTTATATGTAGAAGATTGAAATATAAACATAGGAATTTTTCTGCCTTGAAATGAAAGAGGATGAGGGAGAAGGTCGGTTTATAAGAAAACTAAAAAATGTATGCAAGGAAAAAGCAATAGATATGCAACGATGGAATCATATGCTTTATGTCTTTGTATTAATTGTGTCCCATTTAAACGTGTACACATTATTACACTAATTATGAGTATAACAATATACTCCTATAAAATGTAGGTTTTAACTAATCCTTTGGATTAATATATGTGGATTTAACTAATCCTTCAGATTAATTTTATCCTTCAAATTTCATGTAATGAAAATTGAGATATCAAGTCTTTGTATCACTTATATCGTATTTATAAGGGAACATATACAAAAGGGAGGATACATGCTTGAGGAACAAGTCAACAAGACTCCTAAATACAATAAACTAGATTAAGGGCCGGTTCACAGTTACTTAATTTCAGTTTAATTCAGTTTAGTTAAGCTCTAATCACTTCAGTTCACTTCAATTCAGTTTAGTTTACCTCCAATCAGTTCAGTTCACTTCCTAATTTCCCTCTCTCATAAAATATTCAGTTATGTTCAGCTCCAATTAGTTTAGTTTAGTTAAGTTAAGTTCAATTCAGCTCAGTCCAGTAAATGTGAACAACCCTAAGTGTCGTGTCACGCACGTGTTTTACAAAATATTATAATGGTTATAATGTTAATTCAAAATCTACCAAATAATAATCCTCATATTTTTAAACGAAATTAAAAAGGTTTGAATCTTAATTTATACTCGGAATTGAGCCTCGAATCCGGATTAGACCAAAGGTATGTAGAAGTAGAAGTGTAGAACACCTTAAAATAAAGTAAAAGATGTAGAATTATATTTTATACAATAAAAATATGAAAAATATGTGAATATTTTTTTAGCAAGTGAATCACAATTATAAAAGTGAATCACAATTATATAAAGAAATGAATATTCTTTTTTTTAGGAAGTGAATAAAAAAACAAAGAAAAAATAGTTTTGGAGGGAAAAAACAGCACTTAAAAGTGACACGTATCATTTTTGGTGTTTGTTTTTGTATTATGTTATTGATATACATCTACAAATAGAAAATATACAAATATGTGATTTTTAGTATAGCGAGAAGAATAAAAAGAATATATGTTTAAAATATCACTTCTGCACAATCAACTTTAGTACATTAACTAGATTAAACTCGTGCGTTGCACGATTTAAATAATTTTATTATTATGCATATGAAATAATTTTGTTATCATTATGCATAAAAATTTTAATTTTATCATTTGTTAAAAATGAGTGGCAATTATTTTTTAATAAAAAAAATGTATAGTGTAGATTTGAAATAATAATTGTTTTAAAAAAATTAAAATAATAATGACGGTTAATGACTTCATCAATAGGAATGGAGGGAAACTTTTTAATGTGAGAATGACACGTAGGATAATTTAAGGGATAATAATGTCAGCAATGTTTTGTTTTTGTAATAGTTAATAGATTTGGCTCAACAAAGTTCTACCATGCATGCCGTCTTGCACAAAGCCTTAGTCGGCCATGGACCCGCTTGTACATAGTTGATAATTATATTATGCATTTCATTTGGGGGCCTTAGAAATTTATTGGGCCATGGACCCGCTTGCACAAAGCCTTAGTCGGCCTTGCTGCCATATCAGCCGAGTTTGTCACTCCACTTGCATTAGTTATTACAAATACTTCCTCCATTTCTTAATTATATATCTATTTCTTTCATATATTAGGCATATATAATTAAGGGATGGAAAGAGAATTATTTTTAGTTTTGTTATAATAAGCTATATAAACAACTACAATATTCATTTTAAAGCAATATTATATTTGCAGATCTCTAATGCTCCATTAATGAAACTTTCAAGTTTCAACTAGACCATTTATCTCTATTTTACTCTTCACTCTATATTTTTTTTTTTTATTTAGTAAAAGCTTAAACTAATAACATGGTATTAGAGCGGATCATTTTTTTTTCCTTAAAGAATTTTGGAAAGCCTTGAACAACAGTTACAACACTTACGGAAGATTTGAAGCATTTTCTAGTAATTGAACTATTCTTCAGTTACGGTTTTTGTTGGGCCCGTATCATTAGGCAACCCAATATACCTAGGGCGTTGCTCAATAATCAGAAGATACACCAAATCAAGTAAAGCGGCCTGATTGGAACGAGTATAGCAAGCAGAGATTGAAGTATCAATCATGAAGATACTTGCAAAATACACGTACAGAAACTGGAAATAGAATAAATTAAGAAGATCTTCTACACTTTGAATATATTTGATATCTTTGTAACCCTAGGAGTTCCTAGGTATAAATAGACAAAGTCAGACATTGTAACACTCATGTACGCTTACTCACATTTCAATATAAACCGATTATTTTGCTTATGGATGCGGATCTGTGTCTCTGCTGAACAAGGAAGCATGTCCTTACTCAGTATTGTGTCTCTAAACTCATCTCCTTGATCTTATTTGCATATCTATTGCTTACTTATTGGTTATTTATTGCTTTGTTATTGTTCTTGGTTGCTTTATTCGATATTTGTAGATTGATTGTTATTACCCCTCAAACCCTAGCAAATTCTTGGATGTTCTAACTGAGATTTGCCTAAACAATTTGGCGCCCACCGTGGGGCTGATAATCAATTAACCTACCAATTCGCCAAAAAACCAAGACAATCACCATGAATGGAAAACCAGTACCCTTCACCATTGCCGAAATTAATGAGGGAATGAACGCATTCCGTCAAACCTTAGACCAACAGAAAAGCTTAATCGAAACACTGTTGGCCCAAAAGGTTCAAACCGAAGCTAAACTCACTAGTCTAACCAAACAAAATGAAGCCCTCCGCAGCCAAATACAATTAGTTGCATCCAAAACCGTTAACACTGGGAAAAGCGCTGAAAGTATATCCATGCAACTTGACATGTCCGGAACCTTCCACACCCCTAACGGGGAAAAAGGATCTAACAGCAGGGAAACGCCCCTAGACCTAGATTTTCTGGATGCAGGAACTCTTAGGAAGAACATGTAGGAAGAAACCAAAGAGGGAAAAATAGAGAAGGTGGTTAAAGAATGCCTCAAAGCATTTGAGGCCAAGATTGCCAAAATCCCTGGAGTGCCAAAGCCCATGGAGGAAAAAGCAGTGGTTGGCTATATAGAGTCTCCTTTCTCAGAAGAGATCGCCATGGTAGAAGTGCCAAAAAGGTTCAGCACGCCCAACATTGCCATGTATGACGGAACAACGGACCCTGATGAGTACGTGTCCCTCTACAAGCAGAAGATGATGACAAGCTCAATCCCTAAAGACATCAGGAAAGCCACCATGTGTAAAGGCTCCGGAGCCACGTTATCAGGTCCAGCCCTAACTTGGTTCATTAATTTAGATAATGGGACAATTCGATCTTTTGCAGGAATGGTGAATCTATTCAAGATTCAATTTGCTAGTAGAAGAAAAATCGAGAAGCAGTCCTTAGATCTATACCGTGTTGTGCAAAGACATGGATAATCCTTGAGGGACTATCTTAACAGGTTCAACAGGGAGAAGATTGGGATACACAAATGTGATGCTCCTACAACAATCGAAGCATTCAGAAGAGGGCTGCTAGACCACATTGAGCTCTACAAAGAATTAACCAAGTATCCTTGTACGACCTTCGAGGATGTGCAAGCTAAAGCTATGGCACTATTCAGATTTGAAGAGGATGTATATGTGAGAAAGAATCCCGAACCAGATCGCCAATCAAGAAGGAGCAACAACTTTTCCAGAAAAGACCATCGATTCAAACTGTATCAGCGTTCCCGCTTTGATTAAGGATCAGTTAATGCTGTCGAGGGAGAATTCTTAGATTGGAGGGAAGATCTTGAACTCCTACCTATATTGCATGAATATTATTTCAACTTTAACCCTGCACGAGTAATTAGGACCCTGAACAAGATGGGAGACACCGTGCAGTGGCCCAGAAAGAGTGATAGACCTGGAGAGAAGAAGGATCCGTCAAGATGGTGTGACTTCCATTCAGATATTGGTCATACAACTGATGAATATGTTATGCTCAGGAAAGAAGTTGCTTACCTGTTAAAGAAAGGGTATCTCAAAGAATTCCTATCAGACAGATCCAAAGCTGCAGGAAGAGAAAAAGAATCCAAGAAAGGTGGCCCCCCACCTCCTCCTCCAATTGTCAAAACCATATGTTTCATATCAGGAGGATCAGAAGTATGCGGCTTAACATACTCAGCAGCGAAGCGGCATGCAAAAGAAATCAACAAGGATCAACCCGACAGAAGGACAAGGTAAAAAATGGATATTGATGGGCGCTAGAACGGTCGCACATTCCACACTCAATCAAATAAATTTATAAATCCTAAAACTAACCCCTAAACAAGTCTAGTGGTAAGTTCGGAGTCGAACCACAAGGAATGGTAATGCTAGATTGTTCTTAATCTAATGCCTAAGCTATGCCGAAGTCGATTTACGGATAAAGGACACTACAACTACACTAAAACACATATAAAGAACAAGGTATGATAAAGTCTACTAGGGGAAAAGATCCACTTAGAACAATTAATAAGCTAATGAGAATCCATTTGATAATCAATCATGAAAAGAAAGAATTATAATGAGAATTAACTACACTCAAAAGTAATCTCTCAAATTCCTAGCCTAGATCCTTCATTGACTAGGTGCATAGAAGAAAATTACCCAAAATGCAATCAAATATATCAATTCTAATTCACAATCCCTTGTCAAACTAAAACCAATATGCAATTAAGTGTGCTATCATGGGAGATCAATCCAATCTAAAACAAACAACACGCCAACATCAATTCAATCAATTTAATCACACAATTATCATCAAATTTATCTCAAATAACTCAAATAATCATTACAAAGCCTCACTCAACACCTAGTAGAAGGGAAACTACTCAAGCATAATGAAAGCAACTAAATAAAGCAATAAGAGAAGAGAAAGTAAGAAATGCTCATTGATATAAGAT